GGGTGGAATCTAATAAACTTTCATAATATCAGAATGACCCCACCACTACCATATGTTTTGCCTGCCACCCCATTATCATGCAAATTACAATTCCAGTTTTGCCAAAACTACGCAAGGCTGAGTTTGCAAAACCACATTCTCTCTCACACATTCTCTCTCTCTCTCTCTCTCTCTCTCAGGTAAAGTTGTGCGGTACTCAAAGGGTGTGTGGGACATACCATATCATCACACTGATGTGGGTCCCTTCTCAAGAGGTCCCTACATCATCATCTTCCTCTAACCCAACGTACACGACGAGGACGACAAGACATTCCTTCCCCTGTGATACGTTTGACATGATATTATTATAACATTGTGGATATTTCACTTAGTTTTTTTTGTTTTTTTGGAAGGTGGATTTTTCACTTTGTTATTATCTATTGAACTATTTTTTTACACTACTATATTAAAAATGACAGAAAATCAAATCAAATCCTACTCTTTTTTATATAAAGTACATTCATATATAACTCCAAATTCTCATCACTGGATTATCTTCTTGCTGCTTTGGCTTGTTGCATATATCTGACGTTAGCATGGAAAAGAGTAAAGATTAGATTAAATTTTGATTGATTATATTTATCACAATTTCATCTCCGTCTTAAGAACATCTCCAACCCAATTTAAATATTATATTTGTTATTTCAGTTAGTCAATTTTATAAATTCACTTCAACCACAATCTCTATCTTAGCTAATTATTTCACCCAATTTTTACTAACTTCTAAGGGAATAAAACATATATATAGAGAGATAGGGAGAGAATTTAGAAAGACTAAATGACTCTCCACATTTAGAGAGACTGAATTGGTGAAATAAGAAATAGAAAGAAAGTTGAATAGAGTTTATTGTATTTGGCTAAGCTAAACTAACTAAAAGAGAGGAAATAGAAAGTAGGTTGAAGATGCTCCACCTCAAACAAAACAATCTCAACTCTATGTGTTTTGGACTCATAAAAAATGTTACACAACCCAAAATTATATTTAAAATCATGCACATGGACTCGATCAAGTGTCTCTTTCGAGATTTAAATTTTGGATCTTAAGATAAAGAGTTAATTATGAAAACTTTTTCATCCAAACTACGTCCTAGTTAAATTTTCAAATTGTTGACACTTCCCTTGCTCTTTCTTTAGTTGTATAGTTGGATAACAATAACACACATCATGTGTAGCTAGCCTATCCTAGGTGACATAAATAACACAATTATTAACCATCTCCTATACATAATATGGCTGGTGACCTAAGAGTTAAGCTAGACTGACTTTTTTTTTTTTGTTGGTTAAAAAGGTTAGTTAGGGGCGATCAGACGTAGTAACCCCTCAGAATAGTATCTTAAGATTTTTACTAGTTATAGAATGTTCAATTTGAGTAATAACTAATACTTGTGATGGTCAAGTCCGTCACCACAATGTCATCAAGACAAAAAAAAAAAGGAGGGGAGGCATTAACGATGTAACGGTTACATATCTAAACAAAACATGACCAAAAACACTAGAATATAGCGTCTTACCCTTTGATTTCTATTTTTTCTATCTGCCTAGCATTAATTGTGATTTAAACATGGCCTCTATCTAACTTTTCCAACATTGAGACCATCGCCTTCAATTTTCATAATCAATCTTTAATGATTGTCTTTAGGGGAATCCAACAATTTAGAATGGATTAAGCACAAGCTAGATAAGCTAAAAAAAAAAAAATCACATCATTGCAAAACTTACAAATATTACCAATTATCTACTAATAGACGTAGATCACGCAACCTCTTTGGGATTTGAATAACTTCTTTTGCTAAGTGGATTTCCATCACCTCGAGGATTCTCTCTATTATATTTTTTCATCAATTTTTCTTGTGCTAATCACCTCCGATGAACACAAGTCAAACGGACTATAAAAGCATTTCTCTCATCAATACATGTTTTTTTTAATTAACAATCATTAATACATAATAGGTAATTTACAATTAAAAAATTTAAAGAAAAGTGTATAAAAAAAAAAAAAAGAGTCTGGATCCCTAGCTATTTAACGAATTTGAGTAGGTTACCACCATCATAATTGCTTTTTGGCTGCTCTTATTTCCCAAACAGCTCTTTTGTGTTCTTATTATGATTGTAATTATTGTGTTATTTTTTAATTCTAAAGGCTTAAAGAAGAGAATAGGATTTTATCCTGAAATAAGAAGCTCTTTTAATTAATTAATATTGTCTTAATACAATAATAACAAAATATGTGGTGGATAGGGCACTTAAGTGGAGTGGTTCCAAGGTGGTAGGATTGGCCACTAGTGAATTATTTCATTTTAATGGAAGACTTCAACTAGTATTATCTAAGTAAAAGATGTGGGGCCCAGCATCTTATTATGTGAAATGTTGGAATCTATTGGCACAACCACATTATGTTTGAGAAAAACAAGAGCAAGCAGGAGAAGAAGATAAAGTTTATGTCCCCCCCGGAACCCCCTCTCTCTCTCTCTCTCGTTCGTGAGTGGTTTTCACCATTTAGACCTATAGAGTAAAAAATAATCAATGCTAGCGGCCAAACCCGTGCAATGCACAAGATGTATAATATAGCATCTAGTTCTTATTTTCGTTTCTCCCTTGTGGGTTTTTTGCTGATAAAGAAATTGGATTGCTGATATGTTATAACACTTCGCCCGAGCGTGGGCCTTCCACAGACAGCACATGTTCTTTATCAAAGACCCGGAACGTACTTCTTTACCCAAAGCTTCGGCTTCAATACCACAACAAATATATATATATATATATCTCCTCCTTCACCTGAGAAGTTAGATAGAGAGTTACCAAAATTTATTCAGTGGAAAAAAGAATTTTTCTTAAACATGTTGAAGTGATTAATTAGTAGGAGAATAAAAAGCTGCTCATAATAGACACATGACACAATGTGATTAGAGTAAACTATTCTTTTCAAATCTAATAACTTAAAATTAAAGGACATTAAAAAACTGAGAGAAAAGGTTTTTATGAAATTGATTATTTTGTTCACGGTGATATAATATATATATATATAGGACATCTTATTTATTTAAGACTACATTGCTTAATGCATCGACATGATTTTTCTCTTTTTCTCACACACACAATGCACGTGCAGCGCACACGTAATCTTTTTAAAAAGCTTCTATAATGATGGATATGTTAAACCATACAGACATACGAAAAAAATGTGATTAGTATGATTCTGCATTTTTAAAAGAAAAACGAAGAATAGAGAAACTTCATGCCTGAAACAATAATTCAGCTACTGTTTTGCATTGGGCGTTTAGTAGTTTTTTATTCACTAGCATTATGCATCGTTACTTTTGCCATGAGTAATTCTTCTACCCAACTCGAAAGTGTACAATAACTTTATTCATATAAATTATATGACATATTGGGCAATTTTATGCAAAAAAAAAAAAAAAAGACCGACTCTCTAGTTGAAATCCTTGTAATTTATTTGGTTAACATTTCAAAATCTCAATTGAAAACTGCACCTAATCCTTCATTTACTGGTTCTGGATTGTTTCTCCCTCTCAGTAGTTCACTGATTGGTTAGGTGTAGTATGTTACTTTTTAAAAAAAAATTAATATTTATTTTTTGATAGTGATGTTACTTGGCAATGAGATTGCAGTACCTATTAGGGTATTAGTTTACATTATCATTGTCATTAGTATATAGGAAGAGACAATAGACATATAGTAAGGGAAATATATTCACCAAGTTTCAAAATATATAGTTATATCATTATATATAAAACTACGGAGAACCTCATTCAAACTTCAATAAACAGATACATCACACTGGAGGGAGTGTGATGTAATGAAATTTTCGAAACTTCATCCCCAAACCGTGTAAATCATTAAACAACATTAGTAACTTCATTACCAGACCTACGAACCCACCAAGTGCAAGAGCTCGATGAAAATCTAACTCACATCACAAGAAACAGGCATTGATTCGATATGAACGTACAGGCTGTAGAAGCATGTGAGTTTTTTGAGAAAAACATGCAACAGTAAAGATAATATGTAGCAAAACCATGGGCTAAGAGTGTAGTGAAGATAAAAAAGAGAATGAAAAACTACCCACCAAGAAAGTACAATAAAATAGTGTAGTGACAAAACCATTGCCTGAGAGTCCATTTTTAGTTGAGCAGGTAAAATTTGCGGTATTTTTAAACTTGAATTAGTGTTGTGGTAGTTTACCTTCACAAAGAATTGGTATAAAGTAAAGGTTACCCTAATGATTTTCTCCTCAAGTAGATAACCAGCACTCAAAGACTTGTCCCGGCACATATAGGCCTTCTTTTAGTAACAAATCTGGAATAGATCATCTAAAAGTTGGAAAGTCTCCCGTATCCAGTAAATCTATATTATTTTTATCTGTCAGAAAAAGGCCAACCAATCCTATTGTCTCTCGTGTCCCATCTGTGTAAACTATCCGTTGCTTGCTTCTGGAGTGCATGAACTGGAACTATCACTACCACATCAGTCGGATTTACACTAGTTTTTAAGGTGCTTTCCTTTGCTTGTTTGAAGGAAGGAATGGTAGCATGAGTAAAGTTAAGCAAGATCTCTTCAAGGGGAGGTGACAATGAGTTGATGACACCATGATTAAGTTCTAATCGTGCACAAATCTATAACTGCCACATTGTTGCATGATCACTTCCTTGTTAACTCATAATCCCTCTAGATCCTACAACTGAAGCACACTACCACAGGTAGGATTGAATTAATAGATAATTCTGATTGGGTGTTAGCAATTGATGCAAAAAACAGGGATTTATTAACAGTAAATTTGGTACAATGATTCGTTGATGCCAATTATACTAGCTGTCTAGCCACATCAATATGAACATAATTGGAAGCCCTCAGGAGACAAATTGTTTTTTTACATGGATTGCCAGAGAGCATTAACCAAATAGTGTAGGAATCTATAGCTGAGTTGAGGAAAGCCGTTGAAGTTACTCTCCACTGATCATAACCGACTGGAATGGTACCCTCTTAATTTCAACGACTGTTGTATAATCCTTGCTCATTGGCAGTTTCCATGGCTCCCCATCCATCTGCATAAAAGCTTCTTTCCACTCTCCACCTCGGAGCTCCAATCTAAGTGCTGCAGCCTGAGTTGTTGATAAAATTCGTTAACAGTTGAGTATTAAAAGCATACAGTAGCAAATAATATCATCCACAGCACAACTTAGAACACTGAAAGGTGGACCTTTGAGGAGGAGGAGGATGAAGGGGGGGAGGTAAAAGGTGCAAGGCAACTGAGTGCAACCCATAATGGGAGAAAAAACAACCAGAGAGCAGGGTGCCATCACCGGTGTGAAAGAGAGAGAGAGCTCAGAGCTACAAGGTCATGCGTGAAGATGCAAGAGACGATCAAGTGAAAGTGTCATCCTCAAATAGTGAATCCCCTCTCTTTTGTATACATGGTTTCTTCAGATTGAAGTCGAGCAACACGAGACCACAACCAAAGTGTTGTCCAAATTAAAATCGGGTTAGAAATTTTTTTGCAAACGCCCAACCCATGTACTGAAGACTTTTGGCCAAATACTGAATTTTTTGGATTGGGTTCGGGTTTGCCCGCCCAAGTTGCACCCCTAAATGCAATATGACGCAAACGGCACTATGGGTGGGAGTACCGGCACCGTGTTTTTCTTTTTACTTTTTCAGAAATTTAATGTCAAGACAACTTCAAGCATCAACTAGTCAAGAAAAAATATTCAGAAACATTTTTTACTTTTTCATATTAAGAAATTTGAAAACTACTACATATAGCCAATGTTGTGGACAAGAGAGGCCATACTTGTCTAGATAGGATTGCATGCAACAAGGTCATCCATTAAATAAGCATAAAATAAAGACAACACAAGCACGCGCGTTTTGAAGGTCTCTACAGTCTTATAAAGTCATTTACAGCATTACTTTATGTGACCTGGATCAAAATTCTGAGCAGATTAGGATGGCTTCTAGGAAATGTGTGTGCTGCGCCTACAAGTCATCCAACTAGTGATGGTTAGGTTAGGCTCATGAACAGGAAACAAAATGAAAAGAAAGGCAAAGACTAAGAGGGCAATGCCACATCAGCAGCCGTGCTGCCCCTGGTTCCTTCCACTGTTTCTCAAAATTTTCATAACCCTAACGGTGTCCAATGCCAATCTAACACAGATGAACAATGTGGAAAACAATACATTTGCAACTACCGGCATTGACACAACAAATCAAAAAAGAAAAAGCAAGAAAACAATAGAACTTCCAGTACCTGAGCAATGTGTTTGGCAGATATAAGTTCAGCCATAACAAATGAAGCATGCCATCCATGTTTTAGGCCAAAAATTTCTAAGAGGCCATCATCAGCTTGGGCCTCAACAAAGCCCCTCTGAAACATAGAACAATAAATAGCAAAGAAACCACTTTCAGCTTGTGACTCATCATTATATATCATTAAGACATTTAAATAGAGGTACCAGTTTATGTTCCTGCCCAAGATAATTTAAAATTGAAACAAAATATTGCTGAGGCACAAATATATACCACAAGTGATGCACAGCAGTAATTACAGCATAACAAATGCGGAAAGGAAGAAAAAACAAGTGGAGAAAAAGCACAAAAGAAGAAATGTGCATGCAAAGGTTTGTATTTCGTACTGTCAGGAGCCTAATAAAGGAATTAATGGGGCAAAACAAATTAAATTTGCAAAAAACACAGAGAAATCAAGGGGTACAACTATCTTTCCAGGATTTCTTTTTTTTTTTTTTTTTGCTTTTTGCCACCACTCCCCCCCCCCCCCCCCAAAAAAAAAAAAAAAAAACACCAGGGGGAGAAGTTGTTACATTTACAGAGGACTCTGTGCCCGATGGAAGTGAAGTTTAAGTTGTAGACGACTTATGAGTCCATGTTGCCTTTACATGGGGAACATGTGTTAAAGCTTAAATCAGATACCTACCCCAACCATAAAACTATGCTAACAAAGAACCACATCTATTATGTAGACTCGTTCCCACCAAGTGAAATAGAAACAAGACAATCCATTCAGCAACTGCTACAGAGACTTATTACCAGTTTTGCACATCGCTGTAACCTTTTAGGATTTCCCTTTACCTCATCCCCCGAACAATTCAACTTGCTAATTCTATTCCAGAAAATATCGTTCTCACTGTGATGCGTACTGGACAAACTTTCATTTTTATTGCATTTTGCTTGAGAGAAGGACGATACCAGGAGCAGGTTCTAGACAGACAACATGTGTGTTCTTTGATGCACACCCATTATCATGTCCACAACTCGTATTCTAAGGATGAGAGTAAAAGAAATAGAATCATGTCTATGCAATCAAAATGTCAAACTATATGACAGATCAGATCCACCTTTTTTTTTTTTTTAAAGGATTTTAAACAGCATTAGGCCCTCCGGTAATTGAATCACACAAGTTTACATTGCTCAATAACATAGATTCTGTTTTGATTTGTCTGTCAACACAGTTAAACGGGCACCTATGATTCACCTTAAAGAGGTATAAAAAAGGTTTTAAAATGAATCATCATTGTGCTAGTAAGCAACCCATTTGTATTACATATGACCAACAAATGATACCTTTTCCAAATAGTCTGGCTTCAAATTTCCCCAAGGATTTCTTCCACTTCCATAGTTATGAAGATTTAAAGCAACTAGAGACCTAACACTGAAAGAATAAAAAAACTATCAGGTCAAGAAGAAAATAATACACAGAAAAATGAAATATAAGGAAAAAGCCCGGCAATTAGGAGCATGCCTAGTATTGAGTCTGTTTGGAACTAGCTTAAATAGGTAGCTTTTAAGGGTTTTTGAGCAAAATAGGTCAGGTCCATTTGAAACTTGACTTTTTTACCGGCAGCTTTTTGGACCAATAAAAGCTTATTTAAGCTGATTTTATGAGTTTTTCTCCCGCTTTTTTGGAGTTTTGTCGCAGGTCTCACACAACTTTTTAGTTTATTATATTCAAAAAATATTATTAGTGATGTAAAAACAATTGAAATTCATACTTTTTTATGACACAAAAAAGTCAAAAAAGTTAGAAAGTCACTCCAAACGGATTTTTCTAACTTTTTCAGCTTTTTAAAACACACCCTAAACGGTTTTGGGGACTTTTCTAAGTCTGAATTTTTTGTAAAGCTTTTTAACCCATAACTTTTCACCTAAAAAAGTCAGCTCCAAACAAACCCATTATTTTAAGTTTGATCGTAAAATATTGACATAAAAATCATGATGCCATGCATGATCGCACACACGCGCACATACAGAGGGAGGGAGTAAAGTACCTAAGAAGAAATAAATAAGAAGATTCATTACTGAAGGCACTATATAGCAAGCAAATATTGAGATATGGACTTCTACCGACAAGAATGACGGTAACAATCACAACTGGAGATGTTTGAAAATAGAGAAAGGTTTGAAATCAACCTTGAAGGGATGGGAATCTGCTCCCATTCTGAGCAATTAAACTTTTTAATGTGCATCCTTACAATGTTATTTAGTCCCCTGCATCCATGAAGTTGTTGGTTGCAAATAAGCGGAAAAAAATACTATTCATTCAAGAAAAATATCAACCTAACTAGCATATATCTACTTGAAAAAATACGGCTTTGAATCATAACTTCCAAGTGGAGAACTACACTAAGAGCATCTTCAAAAGGCTCTTTATTCCCACGCAACTCTATACTTTAAAGTCGGCCACTAAAAATTAGGCTCCAATAGACTCTATTTAGACTAGTTGAAATACAGAGGCTTATTTGGCTCTCTCCATTTGGAGAGCTCAACTCTCTCCCTCTATTCTATTTTTAATGAATAAAAAGACGACACAAATACATTCTTCATTAAATATTATTAACCATAAAACTACTTTTCTACTAAAATAGAGAGTCCATTGGAGTTGTCTAAAATATTTTACTATCTATTTCAAGATTTTATTGAAGATACTCAGTATTTCAAAAAAGATTCTCTCTACAAATAGAAAGTACTATTGGACATGGTCTTAAACAAGACAACCAAATGTATGGCCACACATCCAATTTTTATGTTAGCACAGAAGTGGAAAGTAAGAGTGTTAGACAATGCAGTATCCAACATTTAGAAAACAAGGTATACTTGTGCACCTTTTTGGACCTACTATCAGAGAGTATTTACATATGAGGGTGTGTATGCAACTATGCACATGAAAGGAAAAATTAAGCATTAGGGACAATGATAACTGCAGTACTTTCATTCATTGACCAAAAACTATAAGAACACTAGCCCTGAACTGATAATTAGGCTATCATACACGAGTCGAACACATGTAGACAGTGGGAATTGGGAACATGTCAAGTGTCAACAATCTCCAGCCACCTGTGCTTAACAGAGAATACCCCGCCAACAAAGGAAAATAGTACCTGCATTTTTTGCCTAAATACAATTAAAATAAATTAAAAAAGATTAATTGAAGATATTCTTGCCAGATGAAGCTGGCCTCATCACAGTTTCAAAAGAGTAATCCTAAAGCAAGCAGTTAACCCCTCCAAGGGAGGCATAAGCCTCGAGACACTAAGTTTCAAGCTTTTTAAATCATTACTCCCTTGGCGTTCATTGCACGCTTGTCGATTAATAAGTCTAGGATGTGCATGTTACGTCCTTATTCAAATTCCTACAAGAAAACAATGTGTTTTATGGATGCATCGATATGAGATGTCGTACACAATTCCACAGGGGCAGAAAAGAAGAAGCTTGATGATGCACCACAAACGTCAATATAGTGCAATAACAAGTAAAGACATACCATAAAATCGAGCATCAAAAGAAAAGAACTAAGTGGGAGACAGTTCTGACCTTAAATTTGGATCAGTGATACAAGGTGTGAAGAACCAACCTTGTTTGCAACTGTATCCAGAGTAAATGATCTGTGATAAAAAGGACAGATAAAACCTTGAAGTTGTACACACAGGGTAGTGAAAACTATCAGATGACGTATGTTAAACACTTTTAGTGGCACAGCTGGAGAGATGCATGTGGTTGCCAATATACATTGTGAGAAATAACGACAATCAACTTGATATAGAAGCGGGAAGAAATATGGAAACGGCTTGATGATAAGATATAATAACCACATAATCCCGATGTAAGCCTACATCTCTCTTGTGAATAAGATACATAAATATTGATAAAAATTACCAAAAAACCTAAAAAAAAAATTAGTATCCTAACTTTCCCGAAAAGTAGAGCGACAAGTTTTGCTTTATAAATGACTTACGAAGTTTCCCCGTCTGTTGTGCCCATGCTTCTGAAAGAGTCTTGGAAGCCTCCTTTCTAGGGCTTGGATAGTGTTTGGTCAGGGCAATTGCAAACAGATCTTCTGATGAGAAACATAAGTTCATTTTTGTCTTATTAAACCATTGCCAAGACTTGTTACAACATTGACATTTCCAGCATAAAGTTCAAAGTTTGGCTAATTTTTGCTAGAAAAATTGCCTCAAAATCAACTCAACTCAACAAAGCCTTATCCCAACATTTTTGGGGTAAAATTGCCTCAAATTATCTGCTGAAAATTTGCAGATCCACCTCTCTATCGACAAAATCAGCGTCAAAATTGCTAGGATGATTATTTTCTCACCTCAGACTCGGGAGAAAGGGGAAAATTTTAGGCCTCAGAGAGATGAGTAGATTTCAAATCTGCTAGGAGGTTAATTTGCCTCAAATTATCTCCTGAAATAGGCAGATCTACCTCTACCTCTACATATTCAAAATTCAGGTCAAGATTTCTAGAATGATTCACAATTCTCCTATTTTTCACTTCAATCTCAAGAAAAAAGGAAAAAAATTTGGCATCTTCAAGGAGATGCCTCAATTTTCTGTTGGAATTAGCAGATCTATGTATCTAGGTAAAAAATAAGGGTCAAGATTGTTAGTTCTGATTCAAAACTCTCCAAGTTTCTCTCCTTATCAATTGTAATTAAGCAACAAGAGTGGTTTTTTTCCCTTTCGGTAAAAAGGAAGCACATATATAAAAATTGTCATCTACAGAATCAGGATGCATTACTACTTCTTCTTTGCTTTAATATTAATCATCTAGACTCTAGCCCTAAGATTTAGTAATTGAAGAGTGGTTACACAAAGGCCTCCAATATCTAACAATTAAGTAGGTCTTGTAGGCTTTTGGACATTGGGAGAAAGGTGCGTTTCTGGTACCTATTGTGCTTCTCTTAGAACTACTCTTCCTCTTTCTCCTCTTTGACAGTGCTTTTAACTTCTGTACACTGTCTTGCATATTTTTTCTTTCTCACTTACATTAATATTTCTGCAAAGAAAATATCTTTGCAATTAGAGACTCCAACCAGAATCAAGCTCCCCAGCTATATGTGCATTAACAACAGCATTTCAGTGCAGTAAGAAATTTGAAGAGAAGACAAACTTAAACCTTATTTGAAATAGGACCTTGTGCAAGGTAAGGTTTTTCATTGCGTAAATGGTGAAAACCATAAGCAACTTGTGCATCCATTCCTGAATCCGAATACCAAAAAAAAATTACACATACATAATTAAGAATGAAACATAAAATAAAAAATAGTAAATAATTATAATTCATAAGCAAGTGATGACACTCCACATTAAAATTGAGATGAATTTACACCAACATACTCCATCTACTTCATGTTTACTAACCTTTTTTTGCCCAAGGGGGTGGGGCGTATTGCAATTTTTTTTTTGCTCAAGAGTATAGTTACTTAAAAAAGAATATGGCGGGAGCAAGATTTAGTAAAAAAATCTCATTATGGTGTAAGATTTTCCTGGGTGATGCAAGTCATATTACTTGATCAGGGCCAACTTTACACGAGAAAAATATCCAGAAAATGATAATTCAAAGTAAAATTTCATCTAACTAATTATGCACATTCAATTTGTAAAAAAACAAGAGTAATGAACATCATAGCAAGAAAAGAAGTTTATACTAAGTTCCAAACATAAGGAATTCTTTTGGCATGCAAATGCCTCATTTTTGTTAGTCCTCCCAGTTTTTATGAACCAGAGCTAAAAGCTTCCCTTGTGCAAGAATCAAGATTTTAGCCAAGGTTTAAGGTCGCGGTATCGGCTCTCAACTCAGAGGGCACTGATACACATCGGTCACGGCATCGCGACACTGTATCGGCCGATACGAGTAAAATACTTGATAGGAGGCCCAAAAAATTCTAATAAAATTACAAAAAATCTAAAAAATATATATAATGTAATCCATGCATCATATATCCTATATAGATAAGATTCAAATCATAATTAATGTCTCTAAGTTAACTATACAAATCGGGTAAATTATTTTCATCATAAGAATAAATCTAGATATAATATAACTTTAATAGTTAATTATACATAATCAATAAATTTGAAAAAATACAGAAAACATTATGTTAATTTATGCTTCAAAATATATAAATTTTTTTGGAAAATTTG